TTTTCAATCTACCACTCAACCTATTACTAATTCCGCGTTAGAGTTACAGTAAAGAGTTACAGAACAATTTCCCACCACTCGATTTCCAAGAAGCCTTGAATTTCCAAATCAATTTCCCGCCGATCATATCAATCTCTGAAACACTTCCGTCGTGAAAAATTGATATCGTCTTATCTCTCCTTCAGGTCTGTTCGCCGGAAGCGATTTGACGGTCTAAACCGCGACGGAGGACGATAAAAGATCGCTCGATACGTTCTGTCGGTGTTGAATCGACCCGATCAAATATTCTTCGCAGGGAAGATTGGAAAAGCTTGGACTGCGGGGGTGTGGGGTGGGCAGAACTCGACGGTTCTCGTGACAAAAGTACAACGTTCACAGAACGTTCGGGCGAAGGGTGAAGAGTGGCTTGATACACGGAGCAGCGTAGAATAATGCGGCGAGGCATTTCCGCATAGGAAGCCGTGCATTAGGCTATCAGATCGAGCACGCTCGACAACGACTGCAGAGCCAGGAGGAAAAAGTGTCCGGGGTAAACCCTTACGTGATTAGTCGTCAAAGGAGAGGGTCCGTGGGGTGAAAGTGTGCCTAATGAGCCGCGAGATTGGCACCTTCGTATCGTCCTTTAATCGGCATTTTACGGGAAACTTGTACGAAACTAGTATGCAAGGATTATCAAGAGGAAAGTTGTCAATTTCTCCCTTTCACGATCGTTAGGGTGGCCGGCAGGGGAGGGAAACCCGGTGTAATTATTTATGGACACGACCGGCTAGAAACATTGAGATTATAACTGGCACGGTTCGAAGGGAGGATCTTTTTTTCCCCTTGTGGTTAATTCTCTAACAGCCGCAACAGTTATCTGTCGCAGGTCCGCCTCGAAAGCGTTAATTTTATCGCCGGGTTAACCCTGCACAGTCAAGACACATTTAGTGCATCATATTCGTGCAGTGCTGTTTTAATTGCGAAAAGAGACAAATGTGCAGTGTAACATTAACTAGATGGTTTCAATATGATTAACACTGAAATTTGTACGAGAGTGATTAATTCGAAAATTAATGTTACCAAAGTGATGAATAATATTATTAAGCTGGTTAATTGGATACAAGTTCCTCTTTTTAACCCTCTGACCTTGCAGCCTTTTAGCACTTGAAGAGGAGTAATCAAATGCAGGGATACATTATATAATTTATTAAGGTGCTTCTCTTGATATGTTGATGTTTATTGAAAGAAAAAATTAATGTCATCCATTTGCTCACTTTCTTATTTTTTCGTTTAATTTGAAACTATATATGCATTAAATGTAGCACATTTCTTATCTATGCAAAAAAATCCGACAAAATCATATAACCAAAAGTTATCATTTTTTACAACGAATTGCTTTAACTAACAACTTTAAGAACCAAATATACTTTTATTTTTACCAAATATACTATCCCAGATTTAATTCCAATTGATTCATTTATATACATATTTCTGTTCCTAATTTCAAGAGTACTCCATCGAACTAACCCGAAAAGAATAAAGAAAAAGTATAAAAGCGACTACGTTCATCGCGAATCGCTCGATTTCCTTTAATTTCGTTGGACGAAATTCGAGGAACATAAACGAGGGGGTAGCGGGGGTACAACGCTTTCGTTTTCGATCGTCGTTGAAAGAGATTTGTAGAGAACCCTCGTCGTGTTTCGTTCATTTTTGGTCTGGTTCGTCATCGGTAGTTACACGAGAAGAATGGTAGAGGGCAGGTCAAAGAAAGGAGACCCAATACCCCTCCGGCGTACACGACAAAATTATCCGAAATATATTTCAACCGGTAATTAGCTTTAGGCAATTTTCACCGGACGTTTGTAACTTTGGTGGAACACGTTACCATTGCCTGTTCAATGTAAGCGATTCTCTTTCTCGTTGCCATCGATGGCAATGTTTCGAGAGAACGAAACAGGGCCAGGGGGATGAGATCAAGGGACACGGAGCACGATTAATGTCACGAGGGATAACTTCCTCCTGGTGGTTTGCAAAAAACACGCAGGTTCGTGAATTAATTATTTTTTTTTCAGAATGATGAGCTTCATGTTGCGTTCTGAATTTTATACGTTTCCTAATCCATCGCGAGGAGTATCTCCAGATCGAAACAATTTCAAACGTTCGCGAACGTGACTCGACCACGTTATTTTGTAACGGAATAAAATTTCGGCCAACTTTTTGCTCATTTTCCCCGACGGAATTTTAAGTGTACCCTTTCCTCATTTCCATGGGGTCGTTTTTAATGGACCTTTTTCTGTATTAATTAAATTTTTGCGCCCGGTCTCGTCGCGGCTGGCTCGAGTGCTTCGAATATTTCGTACCAGATCGACGAAACGATGTGCGATGATGGACACATTGGAAACCGATGATGAAATTCAGCGTCGCTGTGTCTTTCGATGTCTAGCATGTACGAAATTTTTATTGTTCGTTTAAACGTGCTCCGCGATAAAAATGTACTCGAGATATGAATACTTCAGGAAAATCTTATACATCGTAATTATTAATATTACACATCTGTTGCTTGTTCCTGAATTACATTTTAGCTGGACTATAACTCCATATTGTATATTGGATATTTTTGATTGTTCAGAATTTATCTTCGTAAAAGTAGAATTCTTTGATTAAATATTTTGTTAATTTCGAAAAAGATTATTTTAATTTCGACAGTGCAAATTATACAGGGTGTTTTAAAATATATAAACATTTCATTGTCATATGATAATGTGACAATAAATAAATAAATTAATTAATATAATAATAAATCAATTAATAAATGGTATGGTTGATATTATGTTAGATACTTTAAATTTACAAATTTCAAAATGACTGTCGTTTAATATTTAATTGTCTAATATTTGCGCTATCATTATTTTTAAATTAGTATCTATGCATGTATATATTTTAACCAATTATTAAAATTATAACAATTATTTAATTTAACTACACATTCACATTTTTTCAAAAATTATAAGTATAATATCTTTTGTTAGTGGTACGAAATTGAAGTCCATGTTATACAATGTACAATGTTATACACGCGATGTCTAAAAATAGTGATACAGACAGTGGCAATAATAAGAAAAAAAAATAATCGACAATTTTTCCAATTAAAATCTTAGAGTTGGTGCCAAAAAATAATTTCAAAAAATTCATCAATGTTTCCAATTAAAAATTTTACAGTTGTAAAGAATTAAATTTCGTTTAGTACACAATTATGTTCTTAAATAAATAATAGAGTGAATGGAAGAAGACCCCGAATACCGTGTGAACGATTTACGAATAAACTGGCTACCGAACGAAGATACGAACGCGACGAGTTGGAGGCGGCTGAAAACTTATGGTTTTGATCCTTATGGGCGTCTCTCGCGATAAGAAAGTGGCAATAATGTAGCGGCGTGACCATGCGTGGCCTTCTCGACCGCCTTATATCTCGGATCTGTACTGTACTCAGCCTAATTATAATCAGCCTAATGCCTGTTGGCCGTTGTGTGTCGGTACCCACGGCCTCTTACGCTCTATACCTGGCGCAATGTAGTCACGTTACTTATGCCCAGCTGAAGAGAGGGTAATTAAGATTCGGACACACCCATCGTGACTCTCGTCTCTTGGGCTCTGACCGCTTCTACGCAGGGAGTGGTCGATCCCTTGAAAAGCAGCTCGTTCTCGTTTGCATACACGGAATCGGGATAACAAGAACGTCTTCCACGATCTTTCTTTTTCCAGCGAACACGGAAACCCGGATCGGGGGAGTGGTGACACGATGTTAATCGAGGACGAGTTATCGAGAGTCGATTCGGAGATCTGATACTCGATGATACTCTTTGATTTTACATCGTCGTTCTTGTCGTCGACCAAACGATCGCGGCGAATGTTATGCAAATCAGCGTATATTTGGATGGTAACAAGGTCTTTGCTCAGTTACCGGGTAAATAGCGGGCATGCAGTGTGAGACCAAGAACTGTTTCATTAATGAAGAAATTGTTTGGATTGTTTCAATCGAGTTACACGTTTTGAAGGACTGTTATTTATTTTATCAAGCTTTTGCTGTTTTATGAATTTATTACTTTACAGAAATTAGAAGGCGTCTCTAAAGAAATTGTAAAAAACGTGCGAATCAAAGAGTAAAAAATTTGAATTTGCTGCCATTCTTTTCACAATGGTCTCTTAAAAGTGGAGCTTTGCTTTTGGATGGCAGACAGTGTAACATTTAAAAATGAAACACTACATGATTTTTAAAGTATAGGTACATTATTGACGCACACTATGAAAATACGAGATTAATTATTAATAAAGAAAAAGAATTTTGTACTGTTTTAATTAATGAGCAATTTATAGTTAAATTATGAAATTCGAAAAAAACAACATTTTTCTGATGTGCAAGTAATATGTTATACATAACTTATCTTTAATATATATTTTTATTTCAGTAAATTATTTTAAAAATTATGCTTTATAAAAATTAATTTTTTATTAAATACATTTTTTATTAAAATTTGTTTCATAATACATAGACACATTAATGAACCTACTCAAGATCTTGAGTGATATTAAACTAATATTAATAACTAATTTTGCACAAGACTGTCTATGATCAAATTAACTGGTTAAATCAATTATAGTGAGTAATTAAATCATTTAAGCAATAATACTGAATATCTTTTTACATTTGTGATAAACAATTTACTATCTCATATCAATACTTCCTAAAAAATACTAGAAATCTGGTGTAACTCTGATAAAACTCTATTAAAATCGTCTCTAATAATTTGACTGTCCATTTCATCCTTGTTCATCGAAGTTACATTAATAAATCAAAAAGGTGCTACCTTATCAAATTTAACTTAATCAATAAATTCATTCCACGAATCATAAATAAGGTTAATAAAGAAATCGTGTCTCTCCTTAGTAGCTTATCATTCAAAGTTTGAAACAGTTCTTGGTCAACTTCGAAGAGCAACCACAAATCAAATTGTTCTACTCACCGGAAGTTGGAGAACCACTTGACCAGCTGTGCAGTGTTGTTCTTATTGAACTTGATGTCGGGGAAGTACATCTTGAGGATGGACGAGGTCGGGTACCTGACCCAGAAGAACATCAGTTTCGCCTTCCTCAGATGCATCGGCGTCAACGTCGACGAGTTCATCGCGGTTAAGGAAATACTGTTTGCTCGCAAATACGCAATGAAGATTTCTCGTTCGTATAAAATCGAATAACTTCATCGTGAAAAAGAAACACATTTTTTTCCTATCAATTTTATCTTATTCTACCACATGTATCAATAGCGGGAAAAGCGTGGGCTACAAACGAGCGAGTACCGATGGCGTCATAGCCCCGAAGAAGGACGTTCTGTAGAGAAATCTGTTTCTATGTACGCAAATATCTCAAACTTAATCGTGTTTCCTTCGTATCAAATTGGATTAGAAATCGTACAAGCTGTGGATGTCGCGAGGGTAGTAGGGCTCTAACGTTCTCGCCCAGGTTGATCCGTACGATTGGCCGTATCCTCAACGGAAGCCTTACCGACTCCTTATCGGTAATAGGATCTCTTCATGTGGTTTCATCGCATTCTTATTTGGTTAACCCGTGTGTTCAATCTTCTGTGGCCCGTCTGCGATTTAAGTAACCAAGAAACTTTCAGTTACATTCGATTCGAGACACTGAAAATATCCTTTCACGAGATGTTCAATCCTCTACAAGATAACTTGATACTCAACGCAATTATTTTACTGTCTGCGTCATAATTTGCCTTGGAGATACAGTGACGTTAATCGAATGTCTGATAAGAGAAGTATTTTATTTCGAGTAAGAGAAGATAACGCTAATGAATGAGAAGATTCTTCTAATTTCTTTTAATTCTTCGTTGCACGATACTTTCGATTTTTGAAACTTTGTAAGAATTTTATAATATGGTGTATTTGCTACAGTATCCATTCTGAGATTAAAAGAATACTAACTGCAGAAGAATTAAAATAAAAAATTCTCTCATATATCAAATGTATATAAAGCCAAGCTTGATTCCAACAAAATGCAAGCGAAATATGCGAAATAAATCGAAAGACACGGCACCTGACGTCACAGTCCTTGTCCAATGTACCGCTCAAGGGCAACTTAGGGTATTCACGGGCTAAAGAGCATGAATTACCCAGATCTATTCTAGAATATTGTTAAACAGATGTATCGGACAGTTACGAAGTACATTTAACTCCGACAAGTAGCAACACCGTAAAACAATTGTCGAAAGTTGCCACGTGATATCGTGCAACAGTTTCCCGCGCAATTCGAGCGGTCCTCGTTCATTTAACCCTGGCGAAACAGAGGGAGAGCGCAAGAGAGACGAATAATCATGGAAAAATCTGTGCAACGTTTTTTTCCCCGGACACTCGATCCGCTGAAAGCCATCTAATTCCGTGAGCGGCGGGAAAAGCGCGGAACGTTTACAATTTTCACGAACGCCTATCGTCATTGGTGTTACTGTCAGCGCGCGAACTCTCTCAGCGTACAAGCGAAGTCATCGTTCACGAGCGAACGAGTCGACGAGTGTAGTCGTTCGCATTAAACGTGCGTGTACCGCACGTCGCATTTTGCGCTCACGGTAACGTCGATGAGCGATAACGAGATGTCAGACTGCAATAGGGGTTATTTCGACGTGCAACCACCCCTGGATTATCGAGCTGGTCCTTCCTCGTACCCCTTTTCTTCCCCTCATAGCTCACGCTTACTCGCGTTTATGCTACGCAACCGGAAAGAAAGTGATACACCGTCGTTTGGGTACTTTAACGGTCAGACAATTACTAAATCACAACGGAGATAGTGTAATTCAACGCTTTACAATTTCTGAATGAGAAAATTGATGAAATAGTTGCAATAAACCGATGGAATAGTTCGAAATAGTTGTGACAATGAAATTAATTCTATACTTCTTACGAGCATCTTATCTTGCAAACAAGTACACTTCTTGCACAAAAATAAGAACAAAGAGAATACACTGGAGTTAGAGTTCTCAATTACATAGCACTATATTGAGGCAAACAATTATTAAATTATAATGGAAAGACTGTAACTGAACATTTTATAATAAATATCAAGTCATTTTCAAATAAAGTAACCTTTTCAATTAACAATCGAGAGACTAGCAATTGATAGGAAATACACAATTGAAAAAATGTCACAAACCACAATATTATAAAGTTATACGAGAACTAATTTTTTCACTAGACTGCTCGAATTGATTGATGTACGACCAAATTGATTGATGACAAACTAACAGTAGATGTCCATTAGTCGATTAAAAGTGTCCATGTTCCTTAAAAATCTTGGCGATTAGAAAATTCTCAAAGAAGAAAATCTGAGACAACCAAAAACGAATCGAACGAGAAAGAATCTTTACTTAACACAAGTGAAAGAACAGTTTTTGCTTGGAAGCGTGAAAGCGAACGTTGTTGGTATCGCGGATGAATCGTGTGCCCATGAGGAGGACGTGGAGCATCTACGGAGGCCGTGAACGGAGAACCGAGAAGGAAACTCGTACAACGTGGAAAAGCATATTCGGATACATGGAAGGCCAGCAAGGTACGCACAGTGACAGACAAGGGTGAATCCAGAAGAGAGTGGTGAACAGCAGCAGGTTGCGCCGCGGCCATGCGCTCGACCTACCCCAAGAGGAGGGAGTGAAAAAATGCGCCATTGATTTTACATCAAAGGCCGGCTAAAAAGGCGGCAAAGAACGCCGCGCTGCCGATCGAACGACCAGGACCAACACATGCCGATGCAGTTTCCGACGTTGCATCGTAGCGACGCGTTTACACGCCCCCGCCCGGCACACGTCGTTTTTTCCTGCTTGTCAGCTACGATATATGTACGTATGTATACATATATTTACGAGCGCTTTCGGTAAGTGAGGGAGAAGGCCACCGCGAGAGTTACCTGGCCGGGTCATGCGTGATAATCGAGCCTGTTGAACTTTTCGCGCCCGTTGATCACGCTTACAGATCGTAAGGATGCGTCTTAACTTCACCAGCGGCTATTTTTACGAAGTCAAAGCGTAAGTACGAGGTCACCGGTATATTTCCCGGCGACCAATGCGTCTTTGCGCGGCCGTGTTTCGAAGTTGGATCACGTTTACAAGAGGTCGAATATTTCGAACGCGAACGAGAGATTTGATGTAAGGAATTTGGCTAGAACGCTGACCCTGTAGAATGGGGGGTAGACCCCTGAATTCTCGTACGGTCAGGAGAAGTAGTAGAAGTGGCTTATCTACGATAAGTCGAGACGCTCGCGAGAGGAAGTTCGCGGAACGCCTCCTCTCTCGTTTCCGCGGTTAAATTCCGAAATTGCGGGACAGATTATTGGCTTGCGAAGTTGGGTGAGACTCGAGGCCGGGGCGGGCCGAGTAGGCAAAGAACTTTCGACCTCGCGCGTTGTTGCCGGACAAACTCTGCTCGTAGGTGCAGCCAACATTAGCCTAACTCCCTGGCAAACTAATCTAACATTCGTCCGAGCTTCCTCCTTCTACTAGCCCTCCCAGCGCCACCCTTCGACTCTTTGTCGACTTCGTTCTCCTTGTCGACGGGCCGACTTTTTCTCCGGGTTGAGGAACTCCTCGTTGTTTTCCAAAGTTTCCAAGCTTCGCGTTCCCTTCTACAGGGAGAAAAAGAAAACATTCCTAAGCATCGTCATCAACCTCTTTCGCCTTTCTACCGCTTTTTAACGCTCGTTTTTCGCTCGTCTCTTTATCCAGCTCTTTAGACTCGCGTAGCCGCATGCTCTTCCCGATTTAATACCGAAAGTTCAGCGGGTAGCTACTTTCTTTGGAGAACGTTCAGACTCTGTCCCTCCGCGATATTACTCGCGCTTCGGAGTCAACCGAGATTCTGCAGGTTGTTGTTACATCGTCGGGACAGAAATACCGACTCACCGTGAAAAAACTTTGAACGGGGACCAGTTGTTCTGGACGTTCTCCAACTTTCGAACGACAACAGACAGACTTTTTCTCAACGTAGTATTAGAAAAGGATATTGTAGGCTGAATTCCGTCGTAACTGATGGTCCCGGAGTTGCAATCGCCGGGCCGGTCGTTGCTGTCTATCCTGAGATGTCCGTAATCCGGACTGCCATGCTGGGCAGCCGCCAATAAGGCAGGATGTAGTATAGCCGGCGGATGGGGCAGTGGAGGGGAATCCCTGAGCTCTACACCTCCACCAGGAGGACTCGCAGGTAGTTGATGCGGACCCGGAGGTGGTACCTGACCAGGATGACCCGTGTGAGGGTTGAAGAACGGCGAATACGGTGAGAACACTTGACTCTCGTGGAGACTTGGATTCGGTATCGCTACGCTGGTTGGCAGAGACACTGGCAGCATCGGTGGAGGCGCATGATACGATCTTGGTGGAGGTGGGGGCGGTGGACTCTCACTGCCTCCTTGCGAACAACTACCCTCCTGCGCCAGGATTCGGGACACTGTCCTCGGCGTGATCCTCGTGTCCGTTACCTGCGGTGGGAAATACTAATTGATACCTCGACTTACTATTGTGAAATTCAGCTTCTTATAGTATATACACTTAACGCTAAATTCAACCCCTTGACTGCTACTGTGACCAAACGTGATCTTGCCGACACTGTATTTACGGAAACGATGGATTTTAGATTTAAATTATGATTATCAATGCCTTATTTTCAATTAAAAATATTATTAAGTATGTTAACTTTTACAATATGTCAAATTTTAGAATATGTTATATTTTGTCAGAAGTATAGGGTCATCGAACGTCCGTAAATATAGTGTTGATGTATCAATTCTTTAGGGCAGCGATTCTCAACCATTTTACAAGGGTGTATAAATTCATAATTATCGAATATTGATAGAAGAACTATATCTTATACTAGCTAGAAAATGTGTCTTACATGTGTCACTAACTTTATTACGAAGTTTTTTTTTTCAAATTCAATCGAATGTAAATAATATGTATACACTAATAAATTTTTTTTTAATTTACCCTGCTTAAACGGAGATAATTACATTAAAAATCATAATATTTAATGTGCACTGTATCAGAAAATCACTGTTTGAAAGTATACTTTAAATTATGATACTAAAAGGTGTTTTTAATCTTCTTGAAAAAACTAAAGTATTACAGAAAGATATAATACGAGTGACACTAAAAAAATGGAATTTATTTATTGTATAATTTTAGAAATTTAAAAGGAGCAAGTACACTCTTTCTATAGCTCACATCCAATAATTAGTAAGAAAAATATCTAATTTGCTTATTTTATGTTGGTAATGTATTTTACCCACTTTTGACTAATATTATATTGAAAGTTATGTACCGTACAATTGATTTTTCTATTACTCCAATTTTTGAATTTGTCATGATACAATCGCCTTAAAAAAATTATATACTTTGACACGATATTATTGTACGTCTGCTTTTTATTTTTAATGCAAGCTATAATTTGATTTTTAAGATTGAAAATAAAATTTAGAATGTATATTATGACCACTTGCTGAGAATCGCAGTTCTAAACTAATAGTGAAATGAAATTATAAATTATCTATATTTCTAATAATTTTTATTAGCATACTTTATAGCGTACAATAATTTTTACTGTAGCAGTCAACGCGTTGATATAAATACTAGTTTGAAATATTTGCTATTGCATAGACAGATAAGAAAATAATTTTCTCGGAACGAATAAATTATCGATCGAAGATCTGATTTTATCATAATACTGGGTTGACGCATACATTCGTGCTGCCGCAAGGGTCTTTTCGTATAATGTATTCCTACCTCTTTTCAAAAGATAAAAATCAATTGATTATGTATTTTTCTAAACGTTTACGATTTTCCTATCATTTGTATAATTCGATCGTGAATATTTACACCAATATATTTTTCTGTATTCTAGAATTACATTATTATATATCTAGATAATTCAAAGCTTTATTTTAATTTTAATGTATTTGTCATGTTCTAACCAATTTATTTAATTTTCGTTCACGTATATTTGAATAAAAAATTCGCTCAAACTTATGCATCAACCCAAAAATTAGATAATTTTAATTTATCTATACGAACAGACATCGGTATTTAAAATTCAAAGAAGATAATTACCTTATGGCGTTTTTTCTTCGGTGTCATGACGAGCGAGAGGGCTTCGTTCTGTTCCGAGTCCCTGCTTTCTCTTTCTTCTCCCCTGATGTTACAGTATTGGTCACGTTGCTGTTGTTCTCTTTGCTGGTGTTCCCGTTGCTGCTGGTGTTGTTGTTGCTGCTGCTGTTGTTGCGCCTGCATGGAGGCCATAGCATATATCGTCGGCGGTTTTGACGACTGAAATATTCCAGCACTCGGCCTCGCGTGCGGAGGCAGCTGATTCATTTGATTAAGATTGTTTTCCGTGGGGCCAGAATGAGGACCGTGGGGAACACCACCCATGGTAACGAGTTGAGGGAAACCCGTAGATTGTGGAGGAGGGGGCCCGCCGTTGTGGGGCCCCCGTGGCCCGTTTGGGCCACCGGGTTGTGGTGCTGCTCTATCTACTACTTTCGTTCTAGGCGATTTTCTCTCGAGTACTTGGTTCACCAACATGAGATCCTTGTTCAGCTGTTCGGCAGCGACTTGCGCCGCCTCACTTTGTTTACCAAGAAACCTCCTCTGTTGCACGAACCTGGTTACTACTTTATCGACCAGACTTGTCAAACACGAGGTAATCTCCACCTTCAACGTATCCGATAGACTTTGCAGGTCCTCGTCCGTGATATGAGAACCCGACGAACCGGTAGCTGCAGCGGCTCCTCTGAACATATTTATCCTTTCTTGGAAATCTTTGTGCTGAAGAGGAGTACTCCCTGCCTGCATCTGCGGCGTTTGCGGCGTGGACGGGCCGGTATTGCTTTGGCTCTGTTGCTGCGCTTGACTCGGAGGGGGTGGTGGAGAACTTTGTCGTTGATGTTGCTGTTGTTGTTGTTGCTGCTGTTGCTGTTGCCTGACAGCAGCCTCTTGGTGCTGCTTCATTCTCTCCAAAGCAGCTTGTTGCTGTTCGAGGTAGAGTTTGTGTCCCATATGATACATAGCGGCTGCCGCGGCATGCGGATGTTCGGTCGGAAGGGCCGGGAGTCCGTTGTACGATGGTGGATGAGGTCGTGGTGGTTTAATCGGTGGTTGAGGACTCGCAGGTGCACCGATGTCACCAATGTCCGAGTCGATTCTACTCGTAAGCTCATCATACTTCTGCTGCATCACGGCTAATTGTTCGTGTAGACTTTTCAACTGGGACTGAAGATTATCCTTCTCCTCGCGTTTCTGCCTGATCGTCAGAGGATCTTCTAATTCCTCGTTCACCTCTTCGTCGTCTAACATGGTATCGCTGACACCATGTTGGAGAACGTGATGCACGGTCTGTTGCTGCGGTTGATAGAGCTTACGTTTCTTGCAACCGTTCACCGTGACCGACTGAAGGGCTGGACTGCTGCGCATCGTGCTGACGATATTCTCAACACGTGCTCGTTTAGTTTCCGTAGTTGGCGAGCTGGTCTCCGTTTTGGGTATGATCGGACAAGGAGAGTGGCTAGGACTACGTTTGATGTTCAACGAGTCCTGCAACTCCTCCTTGACGGAAACAGACCCTGACCTTGGTTGGGTGGGACTGGGTGGTAAACTCTGTTCGCAGTCAGATCCATCCAGATTGGCCCCAGGCTCCATACCAGCTTCGGCGAACGCCTCTTCCATCGCACGTGCGGCTGCGGCTGCGTCCTCGGCGCTATCCTCAGCATCGCCCGGCATCACGGTATCACGATCACTGTGATTCGCATTATTCACGACGTTATTCCCATCACCACTCTCCTCTCCACCACTCTGCACTGTTCCACTACGTGCACTATCACTATTTTGTTGAGGACTATGTTGATGTTGCTGTTGAGACTTAAGTAAATCCGCTGTGGTGTTGTTATTGTTGCTGTGTATACTGTTATTGTTGTTCGACTGTTCTTGAATCGAGCGCGCCGAGAGTTTGCGCCCTTGGAGTATGTCGCGGAGCATGTGCTGCGTGAGCTCGGCGGTGGCGGGATCGTCGCAATTAACTACAGCACCGGATTGCAAATTAGCGGCTGGGTCCATGCCGGCACCAGTCATTCCGTGGCCGCCCTCTGGCGGTGAGCCACCGGCGTCACTGGCCTGTTTGACCTGTCGTCCGAGTAGCTCGTTCAACATCTTGGCGGGGCCGTAACCCGGTGCCCCGAAGAAGCTGAAAGCCGCGTGGGCGGAATGCTGCTGAGCGGTAGGACCCGTCGTAGCTGTACCTAAATGACCTTGACTACTTGCGGCTCCAGCTTGTTGCTGCTGGAGCTGTTGTTGTTGTTGTTGTTGTTGTTGTTGTTGCTGCTGCTGCTGC